TTGGATCTTGATTGCAAAGACGACCACTATTGCCTACAACGTCTTAGAACTATTCATATCAGTTACCGTTTCTGGACTAACTATTTCATATCTGGTATTGTTGGGCCAGTCAGCTCTACATGACGTAGGGCTACCTCTTCTATATGTCGTGAAGAAACCGCAGCTGTTCTCGTTTCCAACTGCATACTTTCGTCCCGTAGAATAATGTAGATGTCTGGGTTGAACCTTTTCCAACATAGGTTTCGAAGTCAATGGGCATTCTCCAATAGCAGTTTCTTTATTATGGATAAGCTAACGTGGCAAGTAACCCAATAGCGTGTGTATAGATGTAGTAGGATTGTACCGAACCGACTAGTTCGGTTTAGGTTACTTTGAACCAGCAGAAATGCAAAAGGCAGTAGAATGGTCATACGCTTCGTCATCCTTTGACATTTGCGGTTTTCCTTAAATTCACCTGTGCCTATGGTAGCCTATCCAATTTTTTTTTGTAAGTTTCCGCCAAATAAATATATCAATAGTAATCAATTTTCCACGCGAAAGCCCTTATGTCTTATTCAACAAACTTGATACGCACTAGCGGAATCTTACCACTCTTCCCAATTCCAACAGCTCGGCATTCTCGAATAGCGCAGTACAGAAAATTCAAGATCGCTTATCTACTTTAACCGTCAATACCAGATCGTTGTATCTATACAATTGGTGTCCAGTGATGTCCTAGAGTCCACTGTTTCGCTGTTTACTCAACTGAATAACCTCGTTTTTCCAAGAAGTGGTCAAACGTAATGATGCCCGGAAGGATGATGAACATTCCAAAGAGAAGAGAAAATTATATAGCGATCAGACTGGCTGCGGAATATAATACCAACAATGACCAGCAAAATATATGAACGAGATTGCCCCAACGAATCAGTGTAGGCAAACACATGTCATTATAGCACACGGGTAGGGTCGAAAGCAGACGAAAGTATGTTACGTTTCGAGAGATTCAACAACTAGACAAGCTGCAGTTCGCCCGACTAAACTGGATCTTTTTGACCGAGCGTCTGCTGTATGGAGACGATGGGTCAGTCGCCTGAACGTAGAATCTGTAGCTGGCTTGTTGGGGTGTGTATGTGTGTTTGTCTGTCTAGTAGGTTTGGAGGAGCACTCTGGCCTGTCTTTCTTATCGCAAAGTTGGCCCGTTGTAGGTTGCAGAAAAAAAAGGAGTAAATACGGAATGGGAAAAGAGCTCTTTCTGTATGTTTACTATTTAATTTACCATGGGAGCAGCATCAATCGAAAATCTGGTGGTTGGAACTGTAACGCCTGTCTGCTTCGGCTACGACTATGACAAGATCCCGTAACCTCACTAGCGGTAATACGCCGAGGCCTAAGTTCAACCCGACCGGACTTGATAACTCTGCGTTAGTACTATGGCCGCCTTACGCGTCCAGTTAATTCTTACCGCTAACTCGCTGTGGCCAGTTTTATTCTACCGCTGCCGACCTGAATCTTTTTTGGAAATTGTATTATGTCGTTATCGCATAGTGTTGTTCACGTTCTTCCCTAGAAATTCTCTCCGAGCGCCTTTTTGAGTTCTTGGATGCTCCGCTGAGAAGGGAGAAGACCGTTAATATTTCCTTGCGCCTTGGTTAGCACACAAACTACTGCCTATTTAGGTTTTCGCAACCCTGAAGGTATCCCATATGTCCCATTCGTATGTTAATTATCATCACACCAGTAACGCATAGTGAACTATAAAAAATTGTGTCAAACCAATGAACGTTTTAGAAAGCTGTATTGGTTTTGCATCGCAAAAAAGGAAACATCATTTAAACGATGGGAAATAATAGTCTCTCATTATTACTTATTTTTTTGTTTAGCAAAAAATAAAATTGTTCGAAAATAACTATGGACAATCAATACCATTCTTTACATATAGCATATGAAGTCATTGTTGTAGCCGTAGTATCCTCGAAAACTGGAAGCCGAACAACGTGGATTGATTACAACAAAGCAAACCAGATTGAATAGTGGCAAATAATGCTCGGCAAAAGCGCAGTTCGGGGGAATAAGTGTAAAAAATTGGGGAAAAGTGGTAAGCAACGAAGCCAAAAACGGGTATCAAATCAATATAAATGTGGCCACGGTCTCTTGAGGCATGACTCACCCACATCTTGCCATGGAGATTGAGTATCTCGGTATGTTTAATTCGGTGGCGCTTCATCTAGGGTCCGCTGGGGTATAGTAAGCTGCGAACTGGTCCTATATATATAACAAAAACTGTTTCAGCAAGCATTCTTGTAAGAACGTGGCCTATACTCAATAGCTACAAACATACTGCGCCGCACAGACGTATAAGATTCAATTATTCTACAACTGCGTTTTTTATTAGAGCATCTAGCAAGAGCCATAACATTTGAGCGCTTTTATCCATCCGCCGGTTACGGGCAGTCCGGTGGCAGAAATCGTAAGTATTATGGATAAATTTATTTTTCCATGGGTAACCGTACGTCGCTACTAAGCAATTGGTACAGGCATGTTTTATTTTATGCGTAACTGTGCAGCTCACGTAGTACTACTGATCGTCATTATGTAAAAGCAATACTAATGACAATAGCTCTATAGTATCAATCGGTATAGTGTTTTCGATAAGGGATGCATCATCTATAAATATAGACAACTCGAGGTAACCAAATGAAGTAACATTTGGTTTCCTAACTTTTGCAAAGTTAGGGAACTTTCTCTTGATACCTGATGATGAAAATGTGCGTTTGCTTTGAAATACTTAGATGGTAACCTAAATATGGAGCTTAACCGTGTGCTCCATATTTGGAAGAGCTTTTGAAGCCTGTAAGGTAGTCAAGCATTCTTTTCTTTTCTTTCTTTCGTCTAAATGGTGAAACTTTGTTGAGTTCAGATAAAACTATGCGTATAATTACGGCGCGCTTATTGCAGGTGCAGAATATGCTGTGTTCTATAGTTGTTCTACTGGCGCACGTTCCTCTCCAATCATGCTTGCGTGTGACGGTGGTTACATCCAGTAAATGCGTGGAACTCTGGCACGCTGTTAATCAAGGCGAAAACAATCATGTTGAACGCCTATGAAAAATACATGGTTCCGATTGAAAGAATATTTTATAGACTTTTATATCTTTAGGTTAACCCATAAGATATTTAACTTGCCAAGGGTACTTATGACGTCCACGTTTAACTTTGCCATTTTGCCACTGGGAATCAAAATACGCAAGACGTACTTTCGGTCGCTACGTGCAGGAATAATACCATACTTTCAAAATATGATTTTATGTTATGTTGTACAAAAACAATTTGAACAAAACAGTCCTTCACTCTAGCAAACTGTGTGGAGATAAACCGGTGAGCTCTGCTTTCCCCCTAACCCCGTTAGCAGATGCTTGGCCTATGCTAGGCACTTATTCGGGTATGCACACAGATATACACGATGATACATTAGTCTCTCTCAACTTCTTCAGCGTAAGATTATCCATGGAGACTCACTTGGTTATCGGTTTGTTTTACATATATACGCTCGTGTCAGTCAGATTGTGTTTCTTCATTTCTAGCCGGACCACAACTTTTTGATGTAATGGGCGAAGGGAAGTGGGAAAGGCAGCGATGTATTCTTCAGTTTATTTTCCTCATTCATCCAGTGGCCCGACGTAGATTGGAGTACCTTTTGTGAACGGCTACAACTCAAATGTGACAAGCATGACATTTATTGTGGCAATAATGGCGAACTTGTAAGACTGTTGGAGTTTCTTCCACTTTGACCGGCCTGTTCGGTGACAAAACTCAGCTGGTACAAGGCGATTGAGCTTAATACAGCCTCTCTCATATGGATTTAAGAACTGCAGCTAAAAAGCAAAAGAACAGCGTAGGTATTTTACTGGATTGTTTGGCTATGTTCACTAATAATATGCTATATGATAACTGTGTGCGCTCGTAAAATATTTGACACAACCGTATCCAGTGAGAGTGTCATAAATCGTCTGCACTGCTTATGCAGATTTTAACGAAAATTCAGGCTTTCAAGGACAACATGTGCACCATGAAGCTAATCCACATGGGACAAGTCTCAAATTTTTACGAGTGCCAAATATCAACTGGCCAAACGACCTGTAGCCTTTTTTAATTCTTTATACAAGTGATCAGACTAATCTGTTTGATAGCTACTCATAAATCTTCGGGCTTCACTAGACAAGTTATATGCAGGCTAGACTCTCTAATTCATGCGAGCAGTATTATTTCGCTACCGGTTACGCACTGTTCATCTTTAGAAAAACGTCCATCCGACTAAAGTTGATATTGGGAAAATATTATCCGAGACATACAATGAGTGAGCTTTTATACTACCCCCGTCAACATGTCTTGAAACTTTTCTCAGTGTTTTATCTACTGCTGTGCCGGTGCACCCACATTGCCGCAGGCTACTGTGGAAGCTTATGCACTGAGAACTACGGGCCCTTAATAAGCACATACGATAAGGGGCTCCATGTTGTCGAAGTGAATGCTCTTCTCTATAGCGTATACCGCCTTCAACTTACTTATGGCATCCTATTTTATTTAGACGATGCCTAGCAATGTATTCAAGTTGTGTTTAGTAGTTCATGAGTTAGTTTGATTTATCGAGTTGACGATTCAAACTGAAAGGCTAAACCGTACGTGACCCATCACGTCAGACACTGTCATAAAAGTCACAATGAGAACTCGCGCTGTCAAGTTGGTTCTTTTATTAGTCAATAGGTAAAACGACGACGACGACGATGGAAACAGTTTTAGTTTAGCCGAACCATTAATGTGCCCATTGAATGCGAGCCGTTAGCGCTTATGGTAATCTTTATTTGACTTTAAACAGCATCTAAAAAAAATCCGAGCTTGTTACGTATGTAATAATTAATCCATTGATAAGACTCATTTTACGTCAAAATCAATACGATCTATGACAATAAAATTGTACGATAAAGAGATTTGTTTGAAACCCACCAAAAACGTAACAGCTTACATGCGATATTCGACACACGCTTCCAACCTGAGCTGCTCAGCCATTCGTCCGCCCGGCGTATGCATCAAAGTATACAAGGCGTACTGAGAACAAGTAGAAGAAAGAAGGAAACACAGGTAAATGTTACACTATGATACATATCATCCACGAAAGGGAGCAGATGACTCCTTTGGTGTAACTTGTTTATAAATCAGTTTTTACTTTAAGTTTGTATGTGAAACACGTTATTCTACTTTAAGCTTGCTTCATCTTCTTTAGACGATGCTGGCTGATTTCTTAACATATTTTGTACTGCTTCTGCTTCTGCTTCTGCTTCTTTGATCTGTCTAGAAGATACTTCAAACTTCGATCCAGATTGTACCGCGTGGTTCAGCAGATCCAAGCTCAGAGCTATTTAACATTAGCCGGATCCAGTATTAACTTGAGTGATATGGGTATGTTCAGTCCTTCTTGGTTTGTGCGGTATTCATATTACGTCCTACTGCATTATTGACGGGCCGAATTCATATTACGAAAGCACCAGCCTAAAGTGGTTTGGGCCGTAGAATAATAAAGCTATACATTATGTCCTGCGTTCTCCGGCTCTCTCCGAGTAGAAGCTTTTTCCTGTACCAAATCTTTACTATAGATCAAGAAGTATACCTTAGGAAATCGTCCGTAACGTGAATCGAGTCGTTGGCACGAGAACCATACGAAGGAACCTTTCTAGCGCGCATGTATGTGCTATCATACAAGGGTTAATATGACTTCACTTTATGATTAGCTAAGGCCTCGTCGCCATGGTATCGCATCCAGTACACAATTCTTGTATCTAGTTCGAAGAAGAATAGATTATATTTGTTGTCTTATAGTCTAAAAGCTAATCATTTGACGCCCTCAGCCGTCTCTTGGAATAATCGCGATCTACGTAGACTCTGTGAAACTGTCTCGTGGAACAAGAACTATTTTAGAGAATAAGTGGTTTCGTGTTGAGACTTCAATTTATGGCTGACGCACGCACCTTCGAAGATTTTCACCCAATTCGCTCCCCGTGGGCTCTCGCTTTTTTTCTAAGTAACATAAGGTAATTTTCCTATTATTATCATCTCTGAATGAGAAGTTCAACAAAAAGTAGAAAAAATACAGAATACGGATATGCACATAGAATTACGTAGAGTCATTTCTGACTTCTTACGCATGTATCTCAACAACAATTAAAAAAACCTGACAACATTATTGTGCTGTATTACGTGTCAACTAACTCAAGACGCATCTAACGTTGATCATCAAGTTCTCGACAACATATTTTTCCTCTTCCATACAAAGTAGATCTGAACCGACCGCATCTGATAGATCTCCTCATATACTTAATGATCTTCGGCTATACTCAATGACAACGATTATCTCCTAGGGTATATAGTTTTTTAGAACTTTCATGGAACGGACGCGAAAAGAGCCGTCGAAGTAAAACGCATAAATGCAATTTCTACTAACACTGCACAGTTCGGGTGAACAATAATACTGACTATATACAGCAACCGTTAATTTTTATGGGGATATTTAGTTAGGACACCTCAGTGTCCGTGGAGTCTGTTCAAGTGTAGTGATTCTATATATTTAATAGCATAAACCTCTATCATATCAGAGGAACGGGGGGATAGAGGTCGAGTGCAGTACTATGATTCCACATGCACGGGGTGGGCTGTAATTGTATCGGGTTGTGCACCACAAGGTAGCATAACAATAGTGAAGCTGAACCTTCAGGCCCAGCGGGCGGAACGGATAATAATTGTGCTCGGTATTTTTCAGGGAAGCACGAGCAAATCACTGGGCCATTCCACGTACAGACTTCTCGCTTCAGTGAAATCTCTATGAATGTACGGCAGCTACCACAAGCGTATATCTGTAGTGATAAGCCCAAATATAAGCAGATGATTGGAGCGAAACACCGAAAAAGCAAATGGTTAGCAATATAGCGCCACTATGTTACCCATAGAAGCACCACCATGAGTGGTACAAATGTATTGTTGTTGCAGGAAGCTTCAGTGATGCACAATGAGAGGTTTCTATTTGTTGCGGCCAACGTTTATTCCTGTTTTACGCTTGTCTTGCCAACAATTCCGTGCAGTGTTTATAATGGAAGTTTTACAAGCTGGCCCAGCCGAATGCGTTGTGTTGAAGGACACGCTTGTACTAGTATGCAGGATAGCCTAAATTGCAGTTCCCTAATATCACACTGTTCTAGCAAGCCGCTTTGCATTTATTATTATTTTGTAACAATTCACTCAATGGATTGCTTACAGACTAGCTTTTTGAGACCATATTCTATAAACGTAATATTGGACGGAACCAAATGGGCTACCATATATAAGACGTTATGGCAAAACGTATCTCCAATTGGTCGAAATTTTAACAAGTTCATGCACTACGAATCATGTTTTTTACATTCAAATAAACGGTACTTTAAACTACTGGAAATTGGAAAAACAGCATGCTAAATAATAACGGAAAGCGGCCAGACTTTTCCAGTTATAATAAGATGGATCACGTTTATAAACCTTGTACCTGGTTGTAGCATCTGGTTTTAGTTTTCCATAAGTTTGGGTGCTTATGTTGAAGTAAAATGTAGCCTAAGATGAACGCTCAGGCTGATTTAGCATGATGGTTCTTTTTGTTGATATAGTATTTATATATATAGTATAGAATTTGATTAAAATAAATGTACCTCAATGATGCAATCCCAATCAGTTGTGTTTTCGAATCTCTCCTTGTTCTTGTTTACCATCAATTATATGTGAGGAAATATTATATAATTAACGTATCAACCCAACTAGGGTTGCTAACGCTCGTTTAGAATAATGTGGCGTACGATTTATATCATAAGCTTAAACAGCTCTGGGAAACTTTTAGACTATTTAAAAGGCTGCTTTAAAAACTGCAATGGAAACCTATGCGCCTCAGGGTGAACTGATAGAAGAACGAAGTTTATTGAAAGTGGGCGGGCAGGGGAAAAAAACGCAAAGTTTACTCACATATGCACGCGTGATAGAACTAGTTATTACTTAAAGAGCTACTACCTGCAAGGCAAAACAATGTTTGTGACGTGTTCGAACATGTTATATATGTTTGTGTTGAAAGCGTGCGTCTTGTGTGAGAAGCAAGTGGGACAATACTTCAAAGAAGAACATCGCATAGTTAGTAGCATGAAGGTAACGTGAAAAGAATCGTGATCACGTTCTCTTCAAGGTACCTATTCGTTTTATGCAGGCTACAAGGTTGTAGCAGTGAATCAATTGAATGCATGGATTATATTATTTGCCGGGGCTTGTGCCGGCCGACACACATTTTTAGGTAGTCGTTTTCATAAGACACACAATAGGTGACATGAAAAATAGTCATTGACTTCAATCCTGTCATATTTGAATGAAAAGCAGCGGCATATTATTATAAAGTGGTTACGGATGTCACCCTTTCTAGCGACACATGAGTGCCATATGGGCAGAGTCATGTCAACAAGCGCTGTTGTCATCCAGCGAGCAAGCAAGTGGTAGGAATGGGTTCTCGCAAAATGGGAAAATTGTGATTCTATGCAACATACTCGCTCTCGCTTACCGTCTAACGTTTATTTATGCTGCTTAGACTGTATGGGAGCCGCGTTTTTAGTGTCAGCGTCACTGAGAAGTGGGTCTCATACTTGTGGCTCTGGCCAAGAGGGTTATCCGGGTAAGCGTCGTTTGTTGTAAAGCCCCTTGTAAATATTCGTCTTCTTCGCTATCTTGTAAGTGCAGTCGAAGCTATCGTCGATTCATAATTGACCACCAAATAGCAACTATCTAAAGACAGCGTAACATAGCAAGGTAAGTGATGGAAAATGTACGAAGCTGTGGTTATTTAGCACACGTACTTAGGCGTATATAAGTATGAGTTCATGCCACGAGGAACGCTTCAAATGACCCACTAACAAACATCAGCCTAATTCGTACATCTTGCAGATGGACAGAAAGGCGGAATATTTTTTGTGTTTAATAATACAATAATACAAAAGTTCTTCTGATGTTTGTTTTGCATATAACGACTGACTATGTCTTGTGCTTGTTTAATGGAAAAAAAGATGATCGACAAGGCTCTAAGGATTAGTGTAGCTCTAAGGACCAGAATCTGTAATTATAAGAGTATGGCGTACAGTATCATTTGCAAAAGCTGTTAAGCAAACAACGAGAGTAGAACAAAAACAATTTCTTATAACTAGTTCTATTATTACTACTACTACTAAGTAGTTCCGTAATACCAATTATTATCTAGAAATTGTCTGTTTTAGTAATATTGGCACAGCTATTTCTATTAGAATGCCATAGCAAATTTTTCTGCAAATGACTATGCCTGATATACGTTTTCGACAATGCGTTGAATTTAGCTTCGTTTATGGACTTTTTCACTCGCAGGTTTACGTTGAGCGTACATACTATAGAATGTCTACGATCATGGTGATCCGGCGACATCACTAATCATAGTTCAGAGGTGCGTGTACATTTCGTAGCCAAGAAAGAAGGTCCTTGATTAACTTCACTCGTACATTCCGTGACGGAGGACAATCTGTTGAAAATTATAGAAGTAGCTTCATGTAGGCAAATAAAATCTACTGGTGCTGTACGGCACGGTGGAGTAAAACAAAAAATGAGCAAGTTTAAATGAATCACCCAGCCGATATTTTTTGACCTGTAAAATGATATTGTTAATAATAAGATTATTGGTGTTAATAAAAGGGAAGCCCATATGCGGCTTTATCCAACGATACTAGTTGATTAGCAAGAATGAACTATCAGTTATCCAAATGTATAGACGTTGTATAAACACTGAAACATATTGTCGAAGTCAAAAAGGCCTTACGTTATGGATTTTACAAAGTTCTATCTATCCTAGATGTTTTTGCTACAGATACATCGATTCGTCTAGCAGTTCACCGTATATCCTTGAGATGTGTCCCTATTCTAAACAATGATAAATCACTAAGAGTTAAACGCAAACGCAAATGTAGTATATGTATATGAGTGACTACAGTACGTGCTTTCGATATCTGTGCTAATGGTTCGTGAGTCTCATGAGGAACTCAGAATAGCGGACTGTATTCTTTGCTTAGTATTCAGCCATGGCAGCGGAGGCCGGTCGTGCTCATTGCAACCGATACCACCGCCTCATGCCAGAGCCTGCTGAACTGGACCTCTTTCCTGCAAGCGCCATTCTCTCAGCTGGTCCCATTTCGGCTGACAGCAGAGATTGAATCATGTCCCATCTATGACGAACGTATGCTTCAGGCGGATCTTTCAGCCCGTAATTGATTCATTGGGATCAATTTTTCACTCAATTCCCGTATTTTTAGAGTCTGGGTTATAATTCCATAACAGGTTGTGTGCGAAATGCCAATTTTGGCCGACATAACCCTCAAAGTTTTCGTGAAAAGCCTTGTCGATCGCGTCGATGCGTTCTTGTCGTTTTGGTCGCATCATCTGGTTACCGCCTCGCTGGTCTATCAATACTCCAGTCTTCGTTTTTGAAACGTTTGCGTCGTTCATGCACTGCACCATCTTCGGTGAATTTCCGCAGCGCTGAGATGTTTGAGAGACAAAAATTTAACCACTGAGCGCTGATTTTCGAGACTAAGTGATAAATAATTCTTTTTTCGACTCATATTTTTAAACTCATAAACTCAACCAGTCTTCACTTGCTTTTTTTTGGAATGCTGGAGTATTTACCAACAACAAAAACTTTGTCTGCTAACGGCGCGTAATTAAAATGTTATTCAATTTTCAAGTCTGCTAGATTCGCTTGTAATATCCAGTACAACCAAAACATTAGGCAAAACGTAATTATATTTAATAATTCATTTAAAAATTTCCTTTGATTAATTCATTTTTATTATATATTCGTTTTTGAGCTATTTTTACGTCAACATTCTCTGTCATCCCAAATTTGATTGCAACAGAAATTTCTAGAATAGAAGCCAAAGTATGCGAATTTCTCGATTGGGCATAGCCATTTTCTATATTGTCTACTACTACTATAGGGTTCACTATTTTATAATATAGCAACACAGCCTTCACAGGAAAATCATCGGAATGAAATGTTTTAATTTTGATGTCTTTGCTAAATTTTTTTTTCTATTTTTTTTTTTCTTTCTAATGGAACTTGTGCGCGTGTTCGGATCAACTCGAGGATTTGCTTGCCATTCACTTAAAGTCGTGAACCCTCCGACTGCTTTTCTGGCAAATGCTGCGCTTGTGATTTTGTTGTTGTTTATGCTAGCAAGCTCTATTGAGGGAATAAGCTCATTTACTAACAGATATAATATGTATTACTGTGACGTGCCGTCTACGTTTACAGCATTGTAGTCAACCATGACAATAGATATGAGGACGATTGTTGGTGTCTGTACACGATAGGCAACAGACCCAGAAGGATACTGAATGGGGAAAGCCATAATGTATGTTACACACGATCTTATTCTGTTTTTAGTTTTGTTTCTACCTCCCGGCCCCCTTCCTTTCCTCTTTTCTTATTTTATTTCTTTTCCGTTTTTTGTATAGAAGATAGATATAATATCCATAAAAAGTTATTTGAGGGATATAGGGATGAATTTTAGAGATGTGTAATGAAATTCTGAAATGAAAGCTTTTATATATATATATATATATATATATATATATATATATATATATATATATAATGCTTGACTTGTTATTAGCTATGCCCAGAGATGAGTAAAATCTTTGTTTTGTGAAAATCGTATACAGCTGTCTCTATCGTGATGGATTAAGCGTATGTACTGTAGAAACAAAGACTACTTTCTTCAATTCATATCTATGAGATGTTTTCTGGCTAGGCCATATCAAAAAAATAGTTTGTAGGCATTTTTTAGGTTTAAAAGTTGACTGACAATTCGTATATAATCGTATTTCAAATAATCGTTTACTGGTATAGAACACCTAGACCTATGGATTTACTTAGTGTTTGTCATATTCCCTAAGAACGTTTCCAACATAAACGTTTCCCTTTTTATCGCGAAACCAGATCAAAGTGGTTGTTTGTGTTAATGTATAGATATTATTAGTCATGTATAACGCTTTTGACGAACAGAGTAATAGGAAGACAACTTTGCGTTGAAGTCTCTTTGGGTATGTTCATTTTCTTCTTCCGTTTCCATGCCAGCAATCCTGCTTAGTTCGTTAAGCACAGACGCGACACATAATATCGAGTACGCTGTCAAATTTTCACCTGAGACTGATCTCGAAAATGTTTGTTTACCAGCCACCAAATTGTTTGGCTTAAATTATAAGTTAGTGTTCGCTTTCACATCAACGATTCTTATTTTTACCGTTCTCGTGTCGTCTCCAGCACAAATGCACGTAGCGTCCGAGAGTTTTGGTCAATTAAACACTTCATATTTTGGGGTTTCTCAGGAAGAATCTTGTCGTAGACTGAATCGTAGATCTTTGTGACTGATCAAATCAGGCAAATCTACTGCTCATATATCAAATCGCGCTTTAGGCAATCAGTATTCGAACATGTATTTAATGAGACGAGTCGTTTCCGGCAGGGCTTAAAAGCTCTCACTAGCTGCCTCGTGAA